ATTGATACTCTCAGTAGTGTCTCACCAGTGGCTGCATCATTACACCCTTCAAACACAGCACTGAGTTGGTTTATAGTAAAACTAAAACAAATTTATGAACAGAATGACATAGGTTAAGTGGTGCCAAGTAAAAGGAATAAAAGTAGAGATGGTTACAAGTGAAAACACACATCTAAAATTTAACCTAGCAAGCTGCAGGCTTTATTCAAGGCGCTTTCTCTCACCAGTCGTCCTTCTTCCCAGCCATGGCTGACTTTCTCTCAGTCAGGACCTTCCACAAAAGCTGGAATCTCTTAGATTTCTAGGTGAAAGATCTTTGCCTAAGCAGGTTTCTCACCCATATGCAATTTCTAGAGTCTTCAAAGCTCTCCCCACCTTGGTTGAAGGACTCATCTTTCTCAGCTTACAAGAACTCAGGCCCCTGGTATCTATCTAGTGATGGATGCCAAAGATGGCTTCTGCCCTGGCTCATAGCTTGCAAAGTTCAATGAACTTGTTTCAAGAGGCAGGATGATCTCCGATTGTTCTTCCCTTCCAATGGGCTCCCCATGCCCCTGTATGTCAATGGGGCTTCCAGTGTTTTGATTCCACCACGCTTAATTTACATAGGAGACAAGTAAGTAGCTGTGACATTCTCTCCTGTCAGGGCAGGACCTGTTCTCCCTTTGTTTGGACATAGACTGTAAAGGCTAATATCAATGAGTATCCATAATTCCTTATATAGAGTTAGTACATACACTAGTGATTAATATCATCATAAAATGTATCATAGGCTTTCAGAAAAGATCTCACTCTATACACTCTTATAATACTGTAATTTGTATATAATCAGTTGACTTAATTGCTTATCACTTGAGGTTCAGCCCTGCTGTCTTTATAGCCCAGATAAAGTTTATCTTCCCTACTGAAAGCTGTATGCTTCCCCACTTACTAGCTTGATAGCTTTGTTTACTTAATATGTAAGTGGGCCTTCGTTGTCTCTCCCAGGCTGGTCTGAGAAGCAAATATACATTCCTTTGTCTAGGGCAGACCTGTTTACCAACTCCCCCTGCTGTGCCTGGCTTAAACGCATTTTAGTCCTCATTCCAGCATATATCCATAACTCTTAGTACACATTGCGTACACATATCACGCAAGAATGTTAATGATTAGTGAGTTATTAGTTTTCCAATGATGTTACACGACATCATTTAGATACTGATTGTCACCACAGTGAGTTGGGGTACAGTGAATTGGTCAGGCCAGCTGAAACTCATTACCTGGTCCAAGGAGCCCCTTGCTCTCTGGCACTGGTATGCTCTTGGGTCACATGACATCTCCCCCTTACAAAGTTGCTGGAGAGTGAGCCACTGGCTGACCCAGAGGCAGCAGATCAGAGTCCTTGCTCCTGGACAGGCCATCTGCCACCATATTCTCTTTCCCCTTTATACAGAAGAAACCTGTTTGGTCACTTTCAGGTGTTTACAATCTCCAGGACATATTATCCGAGCATCCATAATTTCAGCTACTGAGTTGTTACAAACATTTCACAGTGACGCTAATGACCAGCATTTAAATGAACATCGCGACACTAGTCTGGGAGGTGTAGTGAGTATGTCAGGCCTGACAAGTTGCTGACACAAAGTAGTGAAGTACAAATGGGCCTCTGTCACCATGGTGCACTCCTCTAGCTCAAAATCAAAGGGACAGCCAGTATAGTGACTGCTTTAACTTACTTTATTGACTGTAAAGAGATAATGTGCTCCATGCACTTATTGCTTCAGTCATGGTATTTTTGCCAGTATAGGTAATTTATAGCTCCTGCAAGGCAGTATTGTTTAGTACTGGGGTCGGCAACGTTCGGCACGCGGCTCGCCAGGGTAAGCACCCTGGCGGGCCAGGCCAGTTTTATTTACCTGCTGACGCGGCAGGTTTGGCCGATCGCGGCCCCCAGTGGCCGCGGTTCGCTGTCCCGGGCCAATGGGGGCAGCGAGAAGCCGTGGCCAGCACATTGCTCGCATGCGCTGCTTCTCGCTGCCCACATTGGCCCGGGATGGCGAACCGCGGCAGGTGCTTACCGTGGCAAGCTGCGTGCTGAACATTGCCGACCCCTGGTTTAGTATTTGTATGACAGTCATGCTGAGGCTTAAACTGAGAATGAGGTCCCATTTTCCTAGAGGCTGTCGTAGAGGTAGTCCTTGCCTTTGCAATCTCAATAGAGGAGAAAAACACGGTGAAAGAAAGAAGAAACTATCCCCATTTTATAGATGGAGAACTGAGACAGGGAGATTAAGTGATTTGCCCATGGTCACACAGGGAGTGTGTGGCAGAGTCGGGAGCTGATGCCACATCTCCCAAGTCGCTGCTCAATGTCTTAACCACAATCAAATCTTCCAAGCATCAATAAATACTCTTTATGATATGTTTGTAACAACTACAGAGATACCGAGATTACATCAGTAGACAAATTGACCAAACATGGTCCTGTTTCCCTGTGTGTCAGTTTGGCTCTGTGAGGTCTTGCCTTTTGAGCCTTGTAAAGCTGTTGCTTCTTCTAACTGCTGTGGGCACCTTGGCAGCTACTTAAGGCTGAGGAAGGGCATTGATGGTGTAGTTTATATAATGATAAGCAATTATTATATTTTGGGCATTCGTTTCAGTTGTCTGGAAGGAACAGGTGCTGTTGAGGGGTTTCAGGCCAAGGGAGGATGGTTGCGGTGGAGTAGGATGGTAACGAGAGTTGTCAGTGAGTTTGGGGCCACTTTGGAACAGGACAACTCTCAGAGATCACACCAGATCTGGAAGGTCTTGAGGGGGAGAGAGAGAATGGAGCCTTTGAAGAGAAAGCAGAGAGGATGTTCTCCTTGGAACAGAGGGCTAGCAGGAGCCATCCATTTGCAGATGATACAAAACTACTCAAGAGAGTTTAGTTCAAAGCAGACTGCAAAGAATTACAAAGGGCTCTCACAAACTGGGTGAC